AAACAACGGGATTTTTTTTACAGTGTTGTTTTCGGGGGAAATACGCATTGAATTTCATTGTTTCGAGGAGGGGATGCACACCTGTGAAAACTTCTGGTAAAAAAAAAAAACACTCTCTGTAGTGTTGAAAAGTCCAATTTATTTTAGTACATCGGTTCAAACTTTGGATAAAAGTAGGCTATCTGCTAAATAAATAAGTACATTTATTGAACTGGTTTAAAGAAATACGCTGAAACATCCTTGAATTATATTTCACAGCATTGTCAACAAACAATCAATATTGTCATATCTGTGATAGCAGCATGGGACGTCTGCACAAAGGATGGAATCAAACCAACATGGGGTTCTCTGAATATCACCAGTAACACACGCCTCCAGTCCTCGAAATGTGAATAAACAGATTACAAGTGAAGAAATATTGCCTCAGATAGGGTGTGTGTACAAAAACCAAACAAGTTTATCTCACTTTCCTTCTTCATAGCGTGTGCATCTACACCGTAATCTACATAGAAAGTGATCTCCATATTTAGCCTATACGCCTTTACTTATTTTTCTGTGAAAAAAATGTACTTTTATTGTTTGTGAGTTTATAAATTACAGTGCACTGGACTGTGTTTAAAGGGCCAATATGCATTTTCCATTTGTTTGCGATGAATCATTTATTGAAATGAAAGGGTTTGATTGCATGCAACTGATTATATATAATTTTATATAACAATACACACTGACGCCATGGGCTAGTAGGGCAAGCTTAAAATTAACCTTATTTTTTAGAGCGTAAGTTAACATCAGTGGTCTTTTCACGTGATAAGACACATAACCACTGTCAACGTGGGAATTAAGCTCATGATTCCGCATGACAAATGAAACACAAATATTACTTGAGGCTCTTTAAAATATGATTCAAGCTTTATTGGAGAGTTCACATGAAGATGCAAACATGTTATGATTCCTGAAAATTACACTGTTTGAAAGATGTCATATATTATAAAAAGGGTTTATCAAAATATACCATGCATGATGATCACAGCATCTTTAAATCCCAAAACATCTATGCTGACACTACAGCTTTGAGTGGTCAGCAGTTTTGCGTGTAGTTGCTGCCTGACTATATTAACCCTTGGGAATATGAAGTATACTTTAGCATACCTTGTGATTAAGGTAATATAAAGTTAGATTTGGTGACATACACACCCAACTCAGAAACTGAAAAATGTACTTGCATGGTGTCAAAACACTCTTTGTCCAGTATCTTCACGAAATCTTATCAAAACTTTCCACAAATTCATGCGAGACCTTCTTCTGGCAGTGAGAGAAAAAAAGAGCGGAAACACAACCTGCTTGACCCTGACTAACTATCCGTGTTACATTTAACCCCGCGTTGGGTTGTGCCCCGTGCTCCCCTACATTTAAAGTCTGTAGTCAATAACTTTGGGTCCTATCATACACCCAGTGCAATGCAGCGCCAGGCGCGACGCAAGTGTTTTTTGCTAGTTTCAGCCTGACGCAGTTATCATTTTCACGTCCTGTGTCACGTTGTTTAAATAGCAAATGCATTTGCGCCCATGGGCTGCTGGTCTGAACACCAGGTGTGTTAGGGTGCATTGTTGGCGTGTTGCTATTTTGAGGCAACTGAAATAGACAGCGCCATTGGCCAACTGAAACCTGGTCTAAAGTCAATGGCGGAGTATTTCTTTTTGTTATTTAAAGGTGAACTAAGTAACTTTTTTACCTTAACCGAACAGCTTTGGAGTCATTGTAATGTTTATATTACTGATTTCGTGTTGAATGGTGGTCGTCTCGCACCCCCCTGGTGCCTGTGAGCTGCAAAACCACCCTTGCAACTTTGGGCCGGCGAGCCGCCGGCCTCAGTGTTAGGAAGTATCATGTGATATCAGGTCTCGCGAGGTAACGAATTGCTTTACGGCAAAAAACAGATCTGGTAAAATTCTGATAAAATGAGCATCAAACAGAAATAACCCGGCGCCGTATACATGTGGTGTTGGGCGCGCGCAGCTCTTAAAGGGGCCATACCTTATTTCCACTCGTTACAGCGTCCATCCTACTGAACAGGTACCGGTGTACAGGGGGAGGGGATCCGGCCGTGAGTGCGAGCCATCTCTGCGTGAGTGCTATTCACGACAGTACAAGTACTCCACAGCGACTCTAGGGGTCGCTGTTTGACAAAAACGGAATTCCTACTTAGTGCTGGTTTAAAGAGCGGGTTAGTGATGTGCGCCTATAGGCGGGTCCACAACGCTCGTACACTCTGCTTATTAGACACAAAGAGATGTACACGTTGTAAGCTACACAGCCACACACAAACATGCCAAATATTAAAATTAAAAGGAGTACAATGTAAAAGATTATTATCGTGTACATAAAGATATGGTGGAATCCGGCTTGTCCCGTAGATGGTCTGCTTGTTGGCTTTAACCTCGCACACGAGCAGATCCGTTTCCTCGCTAGAGAAGCATTCAGTTTTTTTCGCTTGCAAATTCCACCATGTCAATAGTGAATCTGCCATGGCGCGAGCGCAACTGGCTTTTAAAGGGAATGGGAGATGAGACTCTGATTGGTTTATTGCACGTTACGCCCAAAACACACCCATTACTCATTAAGAGAATAGGGACAACCCCTTTAGACCATGCGCCGACCATTTTTCCCGTCGTTGAACTAGCAAAATTTGATTCGGACACGACCTAAGTGCACTTGCGCCGTGCGCTTTAGACCATGCGCTTAGATCGTTAAAATAGGGCTCTTTATCCCTTAAAACTCATCTTTGATCACCAAAATTAAAATCCCTGTACATAAATGAAAGCTTATTGAACTTGGATCCACAAGTAAAAAACAGTATTAGTTTTAAGTTTATAGAATGTATTATGTTTGCTGAAAGCACAAACTTTAATTGTTAAGTTGATAGATTTTTCCCCCATAAACTGAGTGATTTGGGATGCACTAACACAAATTTTGCATTTTAATATGCAAATTAGGATCTAGCCGATAGCCCCAACAACACGGGATGTGGAGTGCTTTATGATCTGTCCTGTTATTTTTGAGAGCAAAAGGCCCAAAGGGTTGTTAATTCATCGTGGATTTAAAACGGGATATAAATGGATGAGGAATCGTGCCATTTACTTAAGAGCAATTGTCTAGAAATCATTAACTTCGGCTCAATTAATTTAAGCTTTTTATTCATCTTCCTCAAATGCTCCACGGAGGGAAAGAAAATATTAAAAGAGCGAGAGAAACCGTTGGTTAAGCATAAAAGGCTTCATCACACAGATAATAAAAGAGTAGATTTAATTCTCGCTCTGTATGTGCAAAACACCAGATTCATTAAGCTGAAAACTGAACTTAAAATCATCATCAGAACTTTTAAACTACACTGAGCACACAAGGGTATCATGAAAAAATAAAGGTTCCATAAAACATTTTTTATATATTTCTCAATGAAACCCAAGTTACAAGATTGCATTTGAAATTTAATCTGTTTACAGGTTTATGGAAATCTTGACGATGGGTTACCTTGGTAAATTTTTTAAGGGTCAAGAAAGAGAGGTCATAGGCCTACTCTTCCCTTTTGCGTATAATCTAATTCACGTTTCTCCCGCTCCTTTTTTCTTTATTCCACTGATGGTCTGGCTTCGCACTCTCTTCTCTCATCCATCTCTCCGGCACCTTTATGACTCTGAAAGGGCTCCCTAAAATGTCAGATGCTTTATACCCCACCTTTATTCCGCGAGTGGAACGCCAATAATGAAAATGTAAGCATGATTTAAACAGTAATAAACAAATACATAAGTATCACGTTCTAGTAATGACGGAAAGAGGAATTGTGAAGGTTTTGTTAACAAAAGCAAAAGTTGAAGTGCAGGCAACAACCACAGTTTCTGCTAAAATACCATTAACTTGCTACAGTTTTTTTTGCTACTGGTTATTTGTTATTTGCCTCCAAATACAATATTTCTGAAAGGTTATTTTCCTAGTTGAAGATTATCTTCTTTATAGAATTATGGCTTTCAAGTAATTTTTAGAGCCTTTACCATTTTTGTGTTGTGACCTTATTGTCAAGACAGTTAAGCACATATACCTTTAATTTACCTTTTTATGCTTTCTTTCACATTACAGAAATTAGAATTTTTGTAAAAACATGCTTGTCAAAATGCAACAAAAAAAAAGCATCAAAAATATAAATGTTTAGTAACACTTTACAATAAGGTACCGTATGTAACTTTAGGCCCTCTAGTGGTTAAAAATCGAAACAAAAGAAGATTGTTTTGGTTTTGCTTCGCCTCTGCGTAACTGTGCGGAAGAATATTGTTCTTTCTCATTCTAAAATCAAATATATTGCTCATAAAACATTCACTACTAGACTTAAGAACTGGCATAAAGTTGGTTTGACGTTCGATATTCGCAAATTTAGGTTCATCTGGGTGTCAGCTATGATGCACACCTTTTACATTTTTGATATTTATTCAAATAAACTGTCAAATCATATGTAAAAATCGCTGTTTTTCTCTACTGTATGTGATCATACACAAAATATACAATAATGTAAAGCTCAACAGCATTTGAAGAGAATGACTTACAGTAATAAAACCAACTGTAAACTGTTCATCTTGTGTCAGCTATGATGCACACCTTTTACATTTTTGATATTACAATTAACTGTTAAATCATATTTATCCTAATACTTAATAAATATGTCTGACCAGCTATAGATGCTCCGTTTTCATAGTTACCAAAAATAAAACATTCAGACACATTATAGTAATGAGAATTTTGAGGCAAAATGTGCTTAATTGTCATGAAAATAATGACAAAGCAATGCAAAGACTTAAAATAGAGAAGATTCTAAAAATAGGCTTCATTTCTGTATGCAAAATACTTCACTTCTTATTTTGTATTTGTGATTTGTGTTTTGTGAGATTCACCCAAGTATTTTTTTTTTTAAATAAAGGATCCTATGTGTGCTATATCATAAAGAACAGCCTCAGTGAGAGTGTGAAAAAAGATTTATGAATGGATGGGTGAACAAGCAAAAAACAAAGGTAAGGAGTCTCTGGTGAGAAGTGGAGTGTGTTTTATAACGCAGGTGTGTAGAAGACTTCTCCACTGGCCAGTCGGCGCATGAGCTCTTTCCATAGGAGGTCTCTCTCCATCTGCACTCCTTTCATAAAGCCACGGTTCTCCTGTGCCCGGCGGGACAGATAGGGAATCACCTCGTTCACCGGACCATACGGAACGTACTTGTACACTGGGAATCCTGCCTGAGCTAGAGATTTGAACAGACAAGAAAATAATACCAATATTTTTCAGGGGTTTGTTGTTGTGGGTTGTTTATATCCCTTTCATTGACATACATTTTATAACTGTACTTTTTGGTAACACTTATATTGTATACTTTCATTAAAAGTACATATTAAATGCATACCAATAAATAATTTAATGTAAATAAAAATATTCTTTTATATATATATATATTATATAAATATTGTAAATATTGTATCTAGAGAATAAATATATAACTTAATTATATATACAAATATTTGTATAATATGTTATGTTAAGTATATATATTATATACTTTAAACTTTGTATATACTTTTTTCGAAATTAATAGAAAAATGTATATATTCAATTTGTAATATATATATATACTGTATATATATATATATATATATTTTTTAAATGGGTTTATTTTGAGATAAAGGAAAGATGAAGAAACATGAAACAAGTACAACTATGAGGAAATTATACTAAATTGCATAAATGATACTAAATTATTTTAATCCAGAATACTTTTATTTTTTATATCAGTTTTTTATCTTAAAATAAAATAAGCGTTAACTGAAAAAAAAAATAATAATAACAATACTTATTTTCATTTTGATGTTCAAAAATAACTTAACAAACTGAAATATAAATTAACAAAACTACATAGACAAGTAAAAAAAAAAAAAGTAAAAAAAAAACAACTAAAACTTCAACTAAAATAAAAATGAATAAAGAGATAAAAACAATTAAAATATTACAACAATTTTTAATAGCATCTCAATTAAAATAAAATAACACTGGTTTAAAATTAACAGGCGTTATTGTAAAGTTTTGCTGTGATTTCACTAACGTGATCACTGAACTTGATCACATAAGTGAATTTAGTAACTGTGTGTGTGTGTGTGTGTGTGTGTGTGTGGTTCACCTAACGGAAAGCTGATTTGGTCACACATTCCCAAGAGCTGGCCGAAGTACACCTTCTTATCTGTGGGTGCCAGACCCATTTCATTCATCCTGTTAGACCATAAACACACAGAGCGCCGTCACAGAAAGTGAAAAATGAGAGACGCCCCTTCGGCAAGGTCATTTAATACCGGATACATTCCGGTGATTGCTCACTCAAACTTTCACACCGTCTTATCAGTTACAGCCATTACACGCAGGAACAAGACACATTCTGAGACACTTAGGCTGATGTTAAGTGTGAATTGATGTAAGAGGAGGATAACTAGTGTGTACTTCCATACGAATCATGCCCTGGCGACACTCTTTGACATTGTGACGGAGAATGTTAATGACATCTGTCATTGGGACACCTTTGTCAAATGAGGTTACACCCCTAAGGAGTGATTACATAAAATTAATGATTGAACATTATTATTAATGTACACAAATTAATGTACTCCCAGTGGGATCTAAATGTACTTGGCTATCCAGAGGAGAACCATATATCAAAGAACAGAACCTAAACTACACTATAAATGTGAGTTTCTCTGTGCTTAATATCTCTCAACTTTATGTCCAGATGTTGATTTTTATTCTATCTAACACATATCAACATGCAGTCATTTAATTTTGTAACTTTTCTATGTATACATTATTGATACACACTATCATTCAAAGGTTTGGGGTTCAGTACGATTTTTGAATACTTTTATTCAGCAAAAATGCATTCAATTGATCAAAAGTGACAGTAAAGACTGTTTCTATTTCAAATAAATGCTTTTATTTTGAACTTTTTATTCATTAAAGAATCCAGAAACAAATGTATCATGGCTTCCACAAAAATATGAAGCAAAACAACTGTTTTCAACATTGATAATAATAAGAAATGTTTCTTGAGCAGCAAATCAGCATATTAGAATGATTTCTGAAGGATCATGTGACACTGAAGACTGGAGTAATGATGATGAAAATGCAGATTTCCATCACAGGAATAAATTATAATAATTATCAAATGGGAAACAGTTATTTTAAATTGTAATAATATTTCACAAATAATTTTTTTTACTGTATTTTTGACCAAATTAATTCAGTCTTGGTGAACATAAGACTTCTTTCAAAACATTCATAAAAATTTTGAGGTCGGTACGATTTTTTGTTAAATATGACAGATTCTCTGGTTCGCTATCTTTGTGGGGACTCTCCAAAGACGTAATGGTCACCTACCCCCCACCCCCACACAAACACACACACACACACACACAAAATGTACCGTATATATGTCAAATCTCTCATATTTTATCCATTTAAGGTACACAAACTTTTATGTACACCAAATGTATATAAATCGTTATACAAAATAAAAAATCCAGATAAATATCACCTAAATTTTATTCTGTCATTTCCAATCAAGCTGTATTTTTATTTTTGGGAAAAAAAATATTATATAATTATATGAAAAAAATTCTAGCTAGGCCTATGCAAATAGCCTTAACGGAATAGTTCACCCAAACATTTTAATTTGCTGTTAATTTACTGACTCTCAGGCCATCCAATATATAGGTGACTTTTTTTTACTCAGTAAAGAAGATTTATTGCTGAAACCGTGGTCCTTGGTGATTCATATAATTAAAGTCAATGGCTACTGTTAATTTGAGAGTCAAAAAAACATATACAGGCAAAACAAAAGTAATACCCGTGGCTCCCGACAGTGCATTGAGGTCTTAAGAAGCGAAACGATTTAACATTATTTACAACCTATAATCCACAAAATAGTGCTTGCTTGTGCTTATCCTGGATGCCGTAACCTCACGACCGTTTGCCAGGGGCTGTGGATTACAGGTAATAACGTTGTAAATTATGTTCGGTTTCTTGCACAGACCAATCCGTTTGGCTTCATAAGACCTCAATGTATCGTCAGGAGCCACAGGTATAAATTTTGTTTTGCCTGTATATGTTTTTTTGACTCTCAAAGTAACGGTAGCCATTATATGAATCACAAAAGACCACGGTTTAAGCTATAAATACTGTTCTACTGAAGAAAACAAGTCACCTACATATTGGATGGCCTGAGGGCGAGTACATTAAGAGCACATTTTCATTTTTGGGTGAACTATCCCTTTAACAAGATAAAGGAGTCAGCCATTGCATTCCAAAATGTAATTTCAACAATCATCATTTCCACCACAAAATGAATGGATATTTGAGTTGTGCTGGAAATGACATGTTCATGATGACTCATACAGGATATAATTGAAAGAGAGAAGGAGAGTATAACAAAAGTGTCCTACCTTCGGAGTGCATGCTTGACGGTGTCTAGATTGTGTGATGCCACCATGACATTTGCTTTCTTATTCTGTTCGATCTCCTCCAGCACGTAATCCAGACACCTGAAAGACACCAGCTGCTCATGAATCATCCTGGTTTCGGTCTGCACTTTCAGCCAACATTTTAACTTGACTGTTGACCGCCAAACACAAAATCTTTTGAAAAGATCAGATTTATTTTGAAAGCTGTCAGAATGTACCTTAATCATAAGAGGCTTACCTATGGTGAGATAAGCCAAGAGTATAGATAAATCTCTCCTGCCTTTGAAACATTCTGTCAGCACATAGACCGTCTGAATGAAGCACAGTTCAGGGTAAGTATGATGTTCAGATAAGGACCTATATTTTACAAGTATTTTAGGACTGTTGATCTGGACTCAGAAACTACTTGGCCATGTCATCTCGCTCCTTAAAGGGTTAGTTCACCCAAAAATGAAAATTATGTTGTTAATGACTCACCCTCATGTCGTCCCAAGCCCGTAAGACCTCCGTTCATCTTCTGAAGACAGTTTAAGATATTTTAGATTTAGTCCGAGAGTTTTCTGTCCCTCCATTGAAAATGTATGTACGGTATACTGTCCTTGTCCAGAAAGGGAATAAAGACATCATCAAAGTAGTCCATGTGACATCAGTGGGTTAGTTAGAATGTTAATAAATGTGAATGTGAAATGTGAATAAAGTCATTGTTTTTGTTATTTTTGGACCAAAATGTATTTTCGATGCTTCAAAACATTCTAACTAACCCACTGATGTCACATGGACTACTTTGATGATGTCTTTATTCCCTTTCTGGACAAGGACAGTACCGTACATACATTTTCAATGGAGGGACAGAAAACTCTCGGACTAAATCTAAAATATCTTAAACTGTGTTCCGAAGATGAACGGAGGTCTTACGGGCTTGAGACGACATGAGGGTGAGTCATTAACCCTCTGGGGACCAAGGGTTTTTTGAGGCCCTTGGGATGTTTTGACATGCACTGACATTTGTGCTTTTTTCAGTTATTTATAAACATGTTAATGGCAAAGGTGTAAATTCACTCTATATAGCACAAACGGGGCTACCATAATCTGTGAGCAACATGTATTTACATGTTTGTATTTTTGAGAGAATATTATTTATGCATTATTGAAAAACTTAAAAATAAAAGTTTCTGAAATAAAGCCACAAAACACATATTGATTATTTCTTCACAAGACTTTTGAAAATTGTATCACATAGTCTAGAATATTTGCTCCAAAACTATGTGAGAATCATCCTGACTACTCATTCAGATAAGTCAATAAATTCTTTTAGAATGTGTATGACGTGTTTAGTGTGAGAAAGCTTTATGCAGGGAGGCGTGATCTCTCATTAATATGTATGGCATTTCACACCTGAGAAAGACAAAGACCCTCCCATAATGGCCCTATTAGGTGCTATCAGGCCCTTATGAGGAGCCTTGCACAAAGAATGAGGAGATTTAAAAAAGAATGGCTTTTAGATTGTTTGGATTTATCTACAACCCAACACAATCCAAAGATACACAACAAAGGACTGGTTTCTGGTTAAAATTGCTTTTTAATTATATATATATACACACACACACACTGCTTAGAATAAGTGAAAACACCCATGCTAAAGTTGACTAAAAAGAGGAATAAAAAATCTTAATGCCTTAATTAAAAAAATGTGGAAAACTCCAACCTTTAGGGAAATGAATAATGTCCCTGAATTCTTTGTGAATGAATAATGTGTCGCAAATAATTAAATGTTCTTCTTTAAAATACAGGGTGCATACGTCTGGACACTTCTATCACACACCCTTCACCATATAGACATGGTTTTATTTCAGTTCAAAGTTAGAGTTGGAAACGTCTTGAAAAGAAAATACCGGTAGTCTTTTTCCATAAATGTCTTAGTTTGATCATACATATTTCAAAGTTGAGGATTCATTATTTTCATATAGCTTTCATTGGAACAAACATCTTAGTTGATTAGTTTATTGACAAAACATAAGCTTATTTGATGTCTTTATTTTGAAGCTTATTTTAAGCTTATTTGATGCTTATTTGATTTGAAAAACTTTATCCAAAACTAGTCAAAGAAATGTTATTTTATTTCGTCTGTAAGTGCGTATCTGTGCGTTCATTCATTCACACACACACACACACACACACACACACACACACACACACACACACACACACACACACACACACAGAAACATGATTCACAAAACAGTAGGCTATGCTATTTTTCCGTTTACAGACACTAACGTTATTCTATATCGCGATTAGAACAAAGCACAAAACACTTACACTTCTCAGCTGAATCTGTTGCTCCTCCTCGAAGTGAAACCAGCACTTGTTCTGTGGTAAATGTCCCAGGATTATTCCTCATAGCCGCGCAAGACGAATCTTAATCTGACTAAAAAATATAGTGCGTTTACAGCATTTGCCTGGGGGCGTTTATCTATTTTGCAAATGGCCTCAACACATTATCTTATGAATCGCGCTCTGCGAGTGGGTGTGAACAAATTAACGATAATGAGCTGAGACAGGAGAAACTGTACTTCTCTTTAGTTTCAGACAGATTACATTGCAGGAGAATATTTGTTTTAAATGTGAATTGTTTTATTTAAAAGTAGAAATTTAAAGCGTTCTTTAGACGTATGTTTCATGTTTGTGTGATAAGTATTAGCGGAGTTTCCGTTCATTTTCCAGACATGTTTCAGAAAGATTTTTGCGGAGACAGAGTGAGCTGAAAGCGCACCCTATTTATTTTATTTATTTAAAAAAAAACACAAGGTTTTGATGTTAATGTGAGTGTACACAAAAAAAGAAGACCCTCTATAGTTTATAACCATGTATTGATTTTATTTATATGACCATAAATGACGGAGTATTTTAAGTCTATGTTGCTGCTATGTGAAAAAAAAAAACAGCAAAACGCGCGGGCGCGTTCTTGGTCCCCAGAGGGTTAATGACATAACTTTCATTTTTGGGTGAACTAACCCTTTAAAGAGAGGCAAAGTGAATATGATGCATTTCCTGAATCATTACTTTCTCATTAAATGAAGAATTTTTGCCATAATTCTCTGTTCCTAGACAGCATTTTAGGCATTAAATGCCAGTGGTTCTCAACCGGGGGGCCGGGGCTCTCTATAGCAGTGTTTCCCAACACTATTCCTGGAGGCACACCAACACTACACATTTTCCAACTCTTCCTAATCAGACACACCTGATTCAACTCATTAGCTTGTTAGCAGAGAATCCAAGAACAGAAATATCAAAGCCAGTGGATGACAAGCCTGCAGCCAGTAGCCAAAAAAGCGTAACGGCTAATGCTAATGCCCTGGCGGTACGCAGGGAAGCAAACGTTTTTTTTGAACGGATGACAACGGAGAAGAGGCTTCACTACACTGAATAAACCGCTTTTGTGAGGAAATAGCTTATCATTTAATGAATCGACTGCCTGACCACTAATCTTCACCATGTTTTACGCTACACAATACTTTTGTTGGGAACGATATGTACATTTTACTATGATAAAAATGTTATTTAATAAGAGAAGGCAGAGAAGGGAAAGTCGTGACATGACTCATTTACGGCATTACCATAGCATTTAATGAGTGATTTTGTATATTGTCGAAAAAAGTTTTTAAAAAATACAGATGTTTTCTTTCTTTGGCTTTCAGGTTTTGCCAGTTATGATAAGACTTAAATTGTAATGACTATAACTGCATGTATGCATATGACGCTGATTTGCATTTTATTGAATTACAGAAAATGAGTGATTTAATTATAAATATTTTGTTGTATTGTATGTTGTTTAATGAAAAAGTTTTAAAGTTTTCTTTCTATCGCTGCTAGGTTATTGTAATGTGTGCCTAATGATGATAATATAACGCTTTTTAATAAATGATGGTAAAAAAAAAGACATATCATTTTAATGAATTAATTATGTATTAAATTACAATTAAGTTTTTAAATGTGTTTTTATGTGACCAGCAGTGACTAGTACTTAGAGCTAATAGAGATATTCACGCTTTTTTCTGCAGTAAAGACAATGCGGTCCTACCGTAACTTTACTAGCAATATAATACCAAATATAGAACATTTATTCACAAGACCAATGCTCTAATAATCCACAAGAAACTAATTAACGTAAACTGTAACTCACTGTCACAAAACTTTAAACGGTTTGAAATGACGTCACTGCCATTACACGATAGGCTGATGTGCCTCACATGATCCAAGTTAGCCGTTACGCTTTCTCCAATGGTAAGAGACACAGACCCTCTCATCTCCCAATAATAAGACAATCTATGGAAATATATGGGTCAGATTAAGGGAGACATCCAAAATGTGCACTGTTGGTGTGCCTCCAGGAACAAGGTTGGGAAACGCTGCTCTAGAAGGCCTCAGTAGACTTTCAGGGGGTCACAAAATGATGTAAAAATTATTTAAAATAAGGTCAAACAACTTTAAAATAGCCAATCAGCTTTAAAAAAATTCAAGATGACTGACATAATAAAATTATATAAATCCTCTTTCATTTGTCTTCTTCAACAATTTCCATTTCTATTGAAGAACCAGGGTTCTCATAGTCTTGGAAAACCTTGAACTTTAGACAAGGCTTAAAGGGGCCATATAATGTTAATATGAATGTTTAGGGTCTAAATGAAAACTTTGTAATATACTTTTATAAAAAATTATCATTAGTATTTTAAGAAATCACTCATTTTACCTGGTCAAAAACAGCTCTGTTTTCAGCACGCCGTTTCAGTGCATATGCCTTTAAATGATAATGAGCTTTGCTGACTCCGCCCCTCTGTTCTGCGGGCGTTTCGACACAACGCACGTGGAGTGTTGCCTTGACAACAGTTGAGGGTATATTTTGGAGAGAGAATGGCAGCGGGATTCTCTGAGGACTCGTATCAGTTTGAACCGGAGTCGGACCCGGAACAAGATGGCGGCCCCGAAGAAGTTCGACAATTAAGGCTCGAACAGGACGTTTCTGAATGGTTGGTTAACGTAATGTCACTTTGATCTATTTTTGTATGGACTGGCAGGGTAGAGAAGTGAGATACGAACGCTATGTGTTTACTGATATATACGTTAGTTCATTGACAGATTGACGTTACAACTAATGGTCATGAAAAACTTTTTTCCGCGATTTGCAAAGATTAATATAAAGGTTAACAAAACTGTGGTCTGTGTTGAAACGCTTCTGTCAATCAACAATCGTGAGAGGGGCGTCCGTTTTATTGACGTCACAAAAACGAACGGCTCAATTTGAGGCAGGGGAAAACATAAGGAGATTAAAACAAAAACACTGAATGGATTTTTATCATTATATGATGGTTGTGTACAGGCACTCCCAATCATCTTGTAAAAGTGCATGTACCATTATATGACCCCTTTAAGACTAGTCCCTGACTAAAATGCATGTTTGAGCTGTTTTAACTGAAAGCAACTTGTACTGGCATATCTTAAAATATGTCAGTGCCATTGTTTTGTGTCAAGATGCACACCAGTATTGTTTTTTTGTTTTTCCAGAGCACATTTATAAAAGCTACTCAAATGCCCTAATTGAAGGACTAATCCTGACTTAATCTAAGCCCTGTCTGTGAAACGGGGCCATCCAGAGATCAAGTCTGTAGATATCAAACAAATGTAATATTATAGTACCATTAGAAATCAAGTGTATAATATCATTCAAACTATCAAAAAACTAAACATATGACTAATGGCAGCTTATATTTGAAATTTGGCTTTAATATGAGCTAAGAGATGACAGAGATGTGGGCTGAAAGTGGGAGTCCATGGCCACCCTGTTCCAGCGGCCCTGCATCAGACTCTATTGGAATCAGCTGTGAGTGTTAGTTGAGTCTCTTGTGTGTTTTTTGTGAGTAGCTCTATTTGTTTTCCATGGGTGAGTGACCGTTAATGGAGCTGCTGCCCAAGAAGAGCTTTTAGATGAGTCACTTAAGAGGGTCCATTTCAGTTCAGATGCTGCCGTAGAAAGTACACAACAAGGCAGCTCACTAGTTTTCAGGAACAGACTTCAAATGTGCAATTCTCAAGGAAGAATTTGGAACATTTCTTGCCTGTGGTACATTCTGTTAGTACATTCGTAGTCGGGGTTGATGGGGTCTTCGTATCCAATCTCCGCTGCTCGGCTTCTCTCCTGGTACATGTAAGCCCCCCTTACCAACTTGGCACCGAAACACCAGCCCTCCCTTCTCGATAGCTCAACGTCCATGGACACATTATCAAATGCCTCCTGAGCACAGAGAATTCATTATGTTAGAACAGATTACCTTACTTTAAAGGCAACATTTCAGGAAATTAAAGAGATCGTTCACCCTAAAATTACAAATCTAAAATTCCTTAAAATTCCCTCTGAGACTTGCGCTCATCTTCGGAACACAAATTAAGATATTTTTAATGAAATCTGAGAAATTTCTGTCCCGAGATTGAAAGTCCATTCATCGCCCCCATGAAAGACATGAAAGTCTTATGGGTTTGGAGTGAGGGTAAGTAATTGATGACAGAATTTTCATTTATGGGTGAACTATCCTTTCTCTTCTGAATATAATATAACTTGTAAACGTGTTTAATTGTCACCATCATCAATTTCAATGCAAAGTTAGATTGCAAGCACCACAGTGTTAAATATCAGTTTTGATTTTGCTTTGTCTAAATGTTATCCTGTTATAACAGCATGTTTTCTGCACAGCATCTAACCATCTCACTGTAGGTACAGCCCAGAATATCATCTGATCCACGTTAACACCCTTCATATGTGCCAGACGTGTGTGTGTGTGTGTGTGTGCCAGGCTCACTTTGAGGTAGCACTGATAGGTGTTGAAAATGACAGCTTTGTCTGTGTTGAAGATTCTCTTCATCTCCACAGTAAGTCTGCTGATGGCAGGCTGGAAATATGTCTGTTCGGCATCCACCATCAGCCTGACGCCATTTTCCACGGCATGCTGTTCAGCACATGAGAAGCAGGCAGTGTAACAGTGAGGTAAAAACACATTCATCAGCTGACAACAAAAAAAAGGATAATATTGCCACAGACTGTCTTTCCTGGCATAACCAAGGATTTGTCAACAAATAATGATGCTATAAACCTCTGCAATAATAATGTTGATGATACAGTGGTGCTAAAAAGTATTCGGACACTTAACGTTCGCATCTCATTGCATTACATAACAAAATAACAATCCAAGTGGCATTTATTTTAAAGAAAGATTGCACATGCACGCTTTGCAAACAAACATTTCACATTCAAAGTAGTTTGATAGATTTAAAAGCTAAAACATGTTCATAATTAATGTGATGTTCAAACGTTTGGGACTGGTTAGATTTCTTAATGTTTTTAAAAGAAGTCTCTTATGCTCACCAAGGCTGGATTTATTGTATCAAAATACTGTAATATTATGTTTTTTTATTTTACTGTATTTTCAAAACGTGATGCAAAGCTGAATTTTCAGCCTCATTACTCCAGGCTTAAGTGTAACAAAATCCTTCAGAAATCATTATAATATGCTGATTTGCTGCTCAAGAAATATTTCTTATTATTCATATCCAATTTATAAACTGTTGTGCTGCTTAATATTTTTGTGGAAACTGCTAAATTTGTCTTCAGGATTCTTATATGTAACATTATAATGCCTTTGTACATTTATTAACCCTCTGGGGTCCTTCGGCCCAAATGGACCCGAAGCATTTAAATAATTTTTTTTTTTAAATCATAGCTTTATCGGAATGGTCCGAAATTTGGCGACTTTGTTGGTACTTGGTATATGAACACCCAAAAAAATTGGGGACAGGATTTGAATAGTCTAAGTGGTTGTAAAAAAAATAGTCACACTCAGGACCTTCGCGTCCAAATGGACCCGCATAGGAAATGAATGGGAAATTGGCAAAAATGTGAAAATACAGAATTATTTTGTGCGTACAATCTACAAATCAGCCACGATCCAGAAAAAAAGCACACAACAGTGAAGGGGTGAATCTATAAAACATCAAGAGTGCAAAACAGACACATCCACACACACACACTTTTATACACATACACACTAATAAATTCAGATTACATATGGGTTTTGAATTTTTAAAATGCTCAGTTTGTCCACCAGATGGCATCCATCTCATTTCAAAAATTGCTTTCATGAGGCCTAGGCTTGACTATAAAATGAAATACAGCTTTAATTTTTTATTTTTTTATTTTTTTTTTATTATATTCAATGGGGAAAAAATGGGTCATAATTATTGCATTAATATTAATTATAAATCATTTTTATTTTTGAAATTATCTCAAAACACCAAAAAAGAAAAGAAAAAATATTATAAAAAACAAGTAAAAAAAAAAATATATATTTTTTTTTTAATAAATATTAATCCCACCCTTCCGGCCCATTTGGACCCAAAGGTCCTGAGTGTGACTCTGAAATGAAGGACACCAGAGGGTTAAAACACTTTTGATACATTTAATTAATCCATGCTGAATAAAAGGAATTTTTTTTTTTTTTACTGACCGCATCTTTTGAACGGTAGTGTACATCTCCCGGTAACATGAACTATTGCAGCAAGCCTACCGGCGCCACAGCAAAATGGGTTCCCACTGCTCAGGGTGTGTGTGTCCACGGTTTGCAGTGTGTGTTCACTAATCACTACTCCTAATATGTGTGTGGACTAACGTGGATGGGTACTATACTTGGACATCACATGTCACTTTCCCTTTCAATTTGAAGAAAAAACTGTTTTATGAAATCTCAAAACTTTGTTTGATTTGGTACTTCCAGGCTGAAAAACAGGAAGCACTGAGCCTACCATGAGTCTCACAGCTTGTACTGCTTGTACCAGAGGCCTTTCACAGTGCGACATAAACCCGATACATGTTCCTCACATTAAGTCGACGGGGCGGAACAACTCTCTAACCTCCACACTCTGCTGAAGGCTTTCTCAAAATCAATCTCTGTTACATTCTTCATCCATGACTTTCTGGTAGACCATGACCTTCTGACACTCCGCATGAATACCACAGGAGAAACATAAGAGGAACAACAGCCAATGAACGCACCTTAGCCAACACATCCAGTCGCTGCAGCATCCTTTTCATCTGCCTTTCCTCTTCCTCCGTGAACTTGGACAAAAGAGGCTCCAACTGACCAGTCTGTTCAAAATACATAAATATATTTAAAAAAAAAAGAAAGATATTCAGAATTTGAACACCTATGGGTGCATTTTTATTTTTTTATTTAAGTGAATCTCAGTAATAATAATAACTTTTTTCAGTCTCTTATTGGGTTTTGGGGGGGGGGGGGGGGGGGGGGGATTCAAAAAACGCAGAGCTGAAGTTAAAAGTTCAATTTTTAAAAAACGCATCTCTAGACCTTGCGCTTTTTTCCGTTCTACTGGCCTGCATCTCGCAATTTTAACATAAAAAAACGTGTTCTGTGTGAACAGGCCCTAACATGCCAACTTCCGCTGCTCAAATGCCCAATTTTGGAGAGGAACAACCTGTCTGATTTTTGGAAACCTGTTTGGAAACAATATTTATTAGTGGTGCTTGCTAATTGTTATTGCTCATACTTTTTCACTTAAATTTTTGTTTAATTTTTAGTATTTAGTAATGTGCTTGTCATTTTCAATATTTTAAAATAAATAATAATAATTGCATATATATATATATATATATATATATATTATTTGAATATTAATTAAAATATTAATATTATTTAATATTTAAAATGTATAATTATTATAAATAATACATATATTTAGGTTTAAATTATTTTTATTTCAGTTTTAGTTTATTTCCAGTTGGTACTTTTAGTTCTTCAACTTAAACATTTCAGTTAGTTGCCAAGACAGCATTTCTATTTTTCATTTAATGTAGTTTTTTTTCCAAATATTTACATTTTAGCTTAGCTAAAATTTACTCTTAGCTTTATTTAATTTTTTTTTTATAGTTTTAGTTGATGCTTATAACACCGATATAAAACAAATAACTCAAATTATTCATTAGCAACCACATAGAAAAGCACCAGTAACATTTTAAAAGTATTATTTTTATGCTGAAACATTCACCTTAACATTATACAACAAATAAATGAAGACTATCTTCTGCGCTTGTGATGGAAGCCTCTTGTTTCTCTTCCAGGCAGAATTCCATACTATACCATGTCTTCATAATCAAATTACCTGGGAAAAACTCAAAACTGTGAAGGGCTTTTGCAGTGTTCATAGAACCAATTAGACCAATTGAGAAATCCATAACCCTCTTAATTTATGCTGTGGTTGAGGTATCCGTTATCCGTTTCTTGCCGTCTGCCTACCTGCAGGTTTGGGACAACTAGTAGATTGGATATCTTTGTCCTCTCGTCGATCAGACTGTTCCAGTCCAGCATGTCCACCATGCTTCGGGAAACAAATACAATATAGCATTTATATTTAAGCAGATGATGTTTTAGAACATCAAATGACTTGCGAGCATCATTACAGAACTGGTCGATTCACTGGAGCAAATTGCTCTTATATGAGGTACAAAGGGGTTTAGTTGACTCAAAGGGGGCAAGCAGGGCAGTGTAATGGAGCACCCGTAGAATAGTCCTTGAGTAGCTCTCCTCAGTTCATAAGATAACTTCATTGTCTGCCATTGATTGGGTTGATTTACAAGTCTGAGTGTTAGAACAGCTACGGGAAACTGGTGTTTCTCACCCTGATGAGTGCAGTCGTCCATCAGAGAAGCAGCTCTGAATGTTGCCCTGAGCTCCCAGCCTGGCTAGACATGTCTGCAAAGAAAACACACTTTTTATTCATCAGACCAAACACTCCAAAAAGACTGTGATTAAAGGAAAAATTCAGCCGAAATGAACCCAGCGAAGGTTTAGAGTTCCATGGAACACAAAATGATACATTTTGAAGAATGTTACAGTTCTTAAGGCCTGTTCACACCAACTATAACGATAACTATTATAGCGTTCACACTAGGGGTTGCACAGACTAGTCGACTTTAATGCCCTGCCATGATGCTTTAACCTTGATGTCCACTAGTCGCTGATCATTGCCTATACAGGGCGCAACAGGATAAGAAATCTTTGAAGTCTACTTTTACGTTTCGTTTCCAAAAGATTGAATGACAAATAAATGCATACTCCAAGAGCACTCCAAAAGATATTTTTGATTATGACATCTGAATACTCAATTTTGATCTGGTGAATGCACATGCAAGCGCTTTCTAAACTAATGTGCTGCTGCATTGTAAAGCACACACGTACAGACAGAAGCACATCACGTGCAGATCGTGCACACAGAAACATTGAGGAACATTCGAAACCCCCACAGACCCGGTGTGAACGGGCCTTTACTCTCCAAAAAAAAAAAAACATTCTATATGACATTACATTCTATATGACAAGTTAAATGACAGCTTTGCAATATTTTCAAAATTCAAGCTGAATAAAAAAAGTAGCTCTCATATATTACACTCACCTAAAGGGTTATTAGGAACACCTGTTCAATTTCTCATTAATGCAATTATCTAATCAACCAATCACATGGCGGTTGCTTCAATGCATTTAGGGGTGTGGTCCTGGTCAAGACAATCTCCTGAACTCCAAACTGAATGTCAGAATGGGAAAGAAAGGTGATTTAAGCAATTTTGAGCGTGGCATGGTTGTTGGTGCCAGACGGGCCGGTCTGAGTATTTCACAATCTGCTCAGTTACTGGGATTTTCACGCACAACCATTTCTAGGGTTTACAAAGAATGGTGTGAAAAGGGAAAAACATCCAGTATGCGGCAGTCCTGTGGGCGAAAATACCTTGTTGATGCTAGAGGTCAGAGGAGAATGGGCCGACTGATTCAAGCTGATAGAAGAGCAACTTTGACTGAAATAACCACTCGTTACAACCGAGGTATGCAGCAAAGCATTTGTGAAGCCACAACACGCACAACCTTGAGGCGGATGGGCTACAACAGCAGAAGACCCCACCGGGTACCACTCCTCTCCACTACAAATAGGAAAAAGAGGATACAATTTGCAAGAGCTCACCAAAATTGGACAGTTGAAGACTGGAAAAATGTTGCCTGGTCTGATGAGTCTCGATTTCTGTTGAGACATTCAGATGGTAGAGTCAGAATTTGGCGTAAACAGAATGAGAACATGGATCCATCATGCCTTGTTACCACTGTGCAGGCTGGTGGTGGTGGTGTAATGGTGTGGGGGATGTTTTCTTGGCACACTTTAGGCCCCTTAGTGCCAATTGGGCATCGTTTAAATGCCACGGCCTACCTGAGCATTGTTTCTGACCATGTCCATCCCTTTATAGCCACCATGTACCCATCCTCTGATGGCTACTTCCAGCAGGATAATGCACCATGTCACAAAGCTCGAATAATTTCAAATTGGTTTCTAGAACATGACAATGAGTTCACTGTACTAAAATGGCCCCCACAGTCACCAGATCTCAACCCAATAGAGCATCTTTGGGATGTGGTGGAACGGGAGCTTCGTGCCCTGGATGTGCATCCCAAAAATCTCCATCAACTGCAAGATGCTATCCTATCAATATGGGCCAACATTTCTAAAGAATGCTTTCAGCACCTTGTTGAATCAATGCCACATAGAATTAAGGCAGTTCTGAAGGCGAAAGGGGGTCAAACACAGTATTAGTATGGTGTTCCTAATAATCCTTTAGGTGAGTGTGTATGCACATCTGCACATCTTGGAGGATTTTGAGCCAATAACAACTTATATAACAGTGCTTTCAGCACACAAAGCTAATATATATTGGGAATTTTATGTGGGTTTTAATGGTGCTTTCTTTGTCCTTTTTGTAGTTTCACATTGCATGGCCGGAGTATAATTAATGTATGCAAAATAACAGGGTGTAACTTCTTCTTTTGAAAGAATTTCTCCTTTTGTGTTCCACGGAAGTAAGAAGCTGATGACAGAATTTTCTGAATTGGTGCACTAATATAATGCACATTAATATGTATTTGCATAATGAGTGAAAAGATTCAAATATGCTTATGTTTTTAATGACATTTTGGTGATTATGTGGTAGTTAAGTGGTTAAAAATCTAGGCTATTAAAGTTCAAACCTCACGTGTCAATTCATGCAGAATCACAATTGTACCCTTGAGCAAAACCTTTACTTAGGTTTGTCTAGTGGAAATGATCTTGTATAAATGTCCCATGTAAGTTGCTTTAGAAACAAGTGTCTGCTAAAAGACTACTTAATTATTTATTGTCATGTTAATTACATTTTGCCATTAAAATGAATGCAGCTCGTACAGTCTAGTCATTGCAATACAGCCTCCAGTTGCTTGCTGTATGTCAGATTTTACAGATGCCTTACAGTCCTTTTTCAATATTAAACACGCTTTAGTGTCGGTTGATCTGTTCGTTTGGCCGCGGTTTGAACCCAAAGCATACCTGCAATTGCTCTAGATCCAGTTTCTGCTCCAGCACCTCCACACCATCTTTCCCCTGCTTGGCAGCCAGGAAACTAAAAAAACGTCTCCACTTCACCAGCACCTCGGAGAACTGGAGCTACAGACACCCGAGGGGAGGATGAAGAGCCCGTTTAGTTCACCAAGGTGATGGATTTTAACCCGTGTGTTCTGATGAATGAACCCTGCCTGAACCTCAGTCTTACCAGGAATTGTGGGCGCCCCAGGGCAGTCATCTTAATAGCCGAGAAGCCATCTTCAGAACTTCCACCTGAGTAGGCAGGTGATTTTCTTTTAGAGTTATTTTAGAGGTAACTGCAGCAATGAAAGTGAAACTGCCTTTTTAAGAGCAATTTTCCAGGAACACTGAATGAATTCTATGCAGTTATACATAATGTTGCCGGTGCATTTCAATGGGTGTTTCTCCAATACTTCTGGCATAATGGAAAACAAATATAAATGCTTTCAAAAGTTGGTCAGCTCCATGCTTTCTTGGCACTTTCTCTAGCATAAAAATATGCTACAGATACACAAAACATTCCTTCAAATGCACAAAAAAGATTTAAAGAAATAACAGGGTAGAAGTTTGCGCCACTTTCCATGAATAGAGAACATTTTGATGTCCCATTACTTTTTAAAAGAGAATCAAAAACTCAAAGTCTTGCAAACCGAAAAGAGGCTTGAAGGAAGCCTGAAAACATTGTTTCAGAAAAATCTACTGGTTGCAAGAGTTCACCATTAAAGTGAAAATGCACACACTCACATTCCAAACTGTACGTCTTGAAAAGACATAACTGCTTCAAAATTCACCTTTTGTGGTGTGTGAGTAATCTATGTTGTAGAACAAAACGTCAAAGTATCATCAAGTTTACCGCCGTCTTTAAAGGGTTAGTTCACCCAAAAATCACCAACCCCGCAAGACTTTCGTTCATCTTCGGAACACAAATTAACATATTTTTGATGAAATCTGAGAGCTGAGAGCGCTTAATAAACTTAAGGTTGAGCCACTGTAGTCATTTGGACTATTTTAACCATGTTTTTACTAACTTTTCTAGGCTGGCAGATGCAATGACCAAGTAGCCTGAGTGAGCCAGCTCTCAGATTTCATTAAAAATATCTTAATTTGTGTTCTGAAGATGAACGAAAGTCTTACGGGGTTGGAACAACATGAGGGTGAGTAATTACTGACAGAATTTTTGGGTGAACTAAGCCTTTAATTTACTAATAAATTGAAAAATCCCCCTATAGGGAAATCTCAAGGGAACCAGGGGGCGTTGTTTTGACGTCATTCTCAAACCTGGCCTTTCTTTTAAAAAAAAAGGGGGGGGGGGGGGGGGGGGGGCTAAAGTCTATCAAGAGCAACGTTCTTTAAAAGTTGGATTTTCTGATGTTATCAAGGACTTTTCAGCAAGAAAAACAAGGGAGAAAAGTGTCTAAAGTTGGTTAGGTGAACCAACGTCATTTAAAATAATTCACACGAGCACAAATTGAAATGATAAATAAAATTGACTTCATTTTTA